CGGCCGGGCGGGATCGCTGCCCTCGCTCAATTTTGTCCTTAATTTTGTGACCCCGGGAGCCAGCCGGGCGTACCGAAGTGAAGTGCGGCGATCTCATCCTCGGCGTGGCCTGAGCACTAGCGTTCAGTGTTTGGTGCTGGAAGGCAGGACATCGAGCTCCGCTCTGCTCAGATCTCTCTCTTGCTCTTACAGATGATAGATAGCAGTGACTCTCGGGGATTCATTTTGTCCCGTTCAGCAGCATGCCGAGTAAAACTTTGAGAAAGGCACGTTAGATTTTTGTGGGTCGTATTTATCGCAGCATCCCACGGTTAACGTGGCGGCAGTACGCGCTGAATCAACGCTGTGACCACAATCTCAGTTGGACATTTGAAAAAAGAGAAAGTTCCCTTGCACAGCGGCAGCAGAGCTTTAACCTCTATACTTCCATGGAATATTTGATCAGTTTTGCTGGAGGACTTGGATTTTTCAACTGCGTTGGTGTGTTAACAAAATGGTCAATGAGAATTGGCTGTCAGGAATTACTGCTACTTCAGGACTGCTACTCCGGCTTAATTTTCTATTTAGGCAACTTAAACTCCTTCTGAATTGGCTATAGCTAATCCTTGCTTTAGCAGTTGGCAAGTTCCTTTAGTAAATCAGTGGATTAAGTGCTGGGCATTGAGAATGCTCTTGCAGATGGTTAGATAAAAATGCAAACCTTTTTTTCTTTATTTGGCATAGTTACTTCAAAAATTTCTCAGTACCTATTTTTATCCCTACTATTAAGGACTGAGAGGGAAATTATAAATAATTGTCAGCAGCCTGTTGCACAGGAATCAAAACTACAATAATAAACTGCTGCATGTTTGGCAGGCTCAGAACAAAGAGGCAGCTGTCTGGATTCCTGGGTCCTACTCCTAGTGCTGTCATTTTCACACCACCAATAAGTACTGCGAAGCTCAGGAAAAGTTTTGAAAGCGTTTTAAGATTGACATCTGTAAAATGTTTTAAGTTCAAGTGATGGATAATGTAATTCTCATGAAAGACAGGTTTCAGATTCAAGAGTGCAAGTATATTTATTGAGAACAGGTGAAGATAACAGATTTTTATTTAAAATAGCTGACACATTTTCTTTTTTCTAACTATCATAAAGAATGAATCTTGAAATTAAGACACCTATTATTGTGTAGGCTTCCTGTTACTAAATGAAGCATGATGTATCTGACTGACACAATGTACTGATGCAGTGCTGGGTTTGACATGACTCTTTGCATGAGTGGAACAAAAGTGCTCCTGAGGAATGTCGATTAACGTGGGCCTTTGACATCTTGAAGCCTTTCAGTGCTTTTGAAGGAAGACTTCAAAGCGACATGTCAGACTCCCATGTATCCAATGATAGCGTTGACATGTAACTGTGTTCCTGCAAGTACTGGAATCCAGATGCTGTTCTAGCTTTTATCTTGTTCTAGCAACGGAACCAATCCACCAGCCAAACGGAATACCTTCCAACAATAAGTACTTGAAGCGGTAATACCACACTCGGCCAAACAGAACAGGGGTCACCTTTATTCTGTGCACTAGTTAAAGTGATGCTGCTCCTGATACGTGCTAATGGGTATTGAAGTAAAACTTCTCTTGGGTTAGCCCGTCGGCAGTGTACATTTGCTTTCAAGTTTGAATCCAGGTAGTGACAGGAGCTTCCCAGAGAGTATAAATCCTGCTAGTCCACCAATATAGCACCTCTCTGTAGGCACCTCATTGCTTGTACCAATACAGAGAGTCCTTTAGAACAGTATCATAATAGTCCCGACTCCGTAATTTGCTTACAGTATAGAGTGTGGGAATGGAGTTCAAATGAATTAAAGCTTGCCTACCCGTAAAAAGTCCCAGCATGTTTGAAAATGCCTCTTTCTCTTCTGTATGTTCCTGCACCTGTGTAAAGATAAAGCTAAATCAGTGAAGTTGCTGTCTGCCTTCTGGATTATCATCTAACTACATCTAACTACATCTAATCATCTAACTACATTCAGAAATGGAATCAAGTTTCCTTTTTCATTTGCCCTTATTATATCTGTTGGAAGGCTGTTTGCGAATTTTCTTCCTCCCGTAGCTAGAAACAAGTGTTGGTTTCCAGCCTAAATTAATTTATGGTCCATTTATATCCATTTGTGCCAATCTTACTTCTTAACCAGAATAGTTTCTTGGTACCCGCTCTGACATGTTTGTCAAAGGCTGATCCCTACCAGCCTGTTTTTCTAGCCTCAGCAGGCTGTATTTCCTTTACCCTATCATAAAACTGAATTTATGAAATCTAATAATAGGAGAGCACAGCTCTTCTCCGCACTTGTGTCCCTTTGAATTAATCTTTCTTGTGCAATCTGGTCATTTGTGTTTGCAGCATTCCAGAAAGCCTCACACTCAATGCCACTAATACCTTATTTGATACATCCTAAAACTACAGTTCTCTTCTTCGTGTCCAATGCCTGCATATTTCTTATCACTTAATATACTGAGGTCCTTTTATCCTACGGTTGTTCGTCACTAAGAAGCCTCCAGCTTTTAGGAGAAATTCCTATTATCCTTGAGTGCATGACCATGTACTTTGCCCTATTACCCCACTCCATTTTTGTTGGTGCAGTTCTAAAGATCATTCAGTTCTTTGTAGGATTTTTCTGATCTTTCTACTTGGATGATGCATGCTACTTCTGAGTCATCAGCAAACTTCACTTCTCTCAGTGACCTGAACACAAATGTAAGTGTAGGATTTGTCTGAAATGTGATTCTTGATAAACTAGAACAGTAATTTCCTGCCAGGTCAGTAATCTCTTATCTATCATGTAGCTGCTGTCATTTCCCTTTTAGCCTGTTGATTTTCTAAGTGTACACATCTTTCCATCCCCCTCTTTTTCTTTCATTTTTTTCCCCTCATTTTTTCTTCAGCTCTGTCACATCATAGTCGGTGTGCACCTTAGGATCATATTTATCAATCACACTGTACCTATTAGAACAGTCAGTTATCATACCAAGAAAGATACTCAATTTCTGTGCACCTTTCTTTGATATCTGTTCTAGGCTGTTACTCCTGTTAGGTCTGTCTCATGGACTTCAGGGACTTTGCTGGTTTTATTTATTTTTTTTTTAATGGCTAAATACTGCTTTCGTGTGCCAGTTCTTGGAGTGTTGTGGAATGTACCGTCTGGTTATGTGAACATACAAAGTCATCTCTGATTCCAATTCAGATAGGATTACCATACAATTTTTATGCATTCATCTTCATTGGCTCAACCTGCTGTAATACATTGCTTTGGCTTGTAACAAAGGAGAAAATAAGAACACAATTGCAGAAATACAGCTGTTTGTTTAATTACTGAAAAGGAGTTGCAGAATGTGGCTTTGACAGGAACTCAGAAGCAGAGCTGGAAGAAGAGAAAGCAGTGTGAGAAGATTGCCCAAATACAGAAGAGTCCAGAATAAAGTTGGGCTTCCTTCCACATCTTTGTTGAGCTGGCTTCCATAGTAGGCAGGCTTCTTAAGGCCACTCTGAAAGTGACAATGAGCACCTCGTGTTACCTAGAGGAAGGAATCACAGGTATTTGTATTGAAGACCAATTTGATGAGGAAGGTGACTTGCATGGTTAGAAGTGCTGTGAAAGTGGAGTTTGAGACTGGACAAGTTTGGCAGCAGAACCCACAGAGGAAAGAAGCTCAGGTAGGTTCTTATACGTGTTTGTTTTCACTGTGTGCAAAACCACAGTGCATTTTCCCCTCCCTAAATGATGGCTTTGCGTGTAGGCAGGGAAAGAAGAAAGTGTCTTTTGAAGGTCTAGTTTGTTTTAACAACCCGTCTGTGACTGCCAGCGTAAAAACCAAGAGAGAAAATACTATTAACAACTGCAAAAATATTCCCAAGTGTGACAAATACTGATGGAGTTTCTAAGTAACACATTTTCAGTGCGCAGCAAACAGAAAATAAAACTTAGTAAACCAGACAGTTGAGCATTCAAATCAAATCCATGAAAGCCTTAAAATAATCTTTGTAAACAATTAACTGCATACATATTCAAGGTACAGTTTTTTTCTGTGTGTTTATCTTTGCAAACAAAGATGTAGTGCCTTGATTTTTCAGCAATTTTTACGTGCCATACTTGGATTCAGAGGTACAGAGAAGGAGGTGTTGTTTACTGCTGGTGGAGAAGGATAGTCTTGGCTTCGCTTGCAGAACCTGAGGGAAGGCTCCAGTTTTCCATGTCCATTGTCCTGTCCTAGATTGTCCTGTTGTTGTTCTGCAGAGGAAGAAGCACCTTCCCGTGCCATTCTGCACTCAGCCACTGTGGTTGCTGTCACTGCAGTGGGAAGGAGTCACCGACAAATGTGATTATGGAGCAGTTGCTTGCTGTGGGCTTTAAACGTGACAGCAAGCAAGACACCAGAATTATAGTTACTGAAATGAGTTTAGTAGTATATCGTGCATGATAACCTGGGAGCCAAATCTGAATGTTAGATGTGAGAAGTATTTGCTTCAGTAGGATCTATTTGGGGAAACTGTTATGTATTTTTCCTGCTTATCTCTTCTAGTATTCTAGTCCTTTACATATAACGGTGTTCACCTTGCTGTTTTTCAGTGGCCCATCTCAGGCTTTCTTGGGTGGCATCTGTTCTATGCCTAATCAAATGGAAGAGGAAATAGGCAAAAAAATGATGTGTTCACTGATGTTTTGAAGAGTGGAGCTGTGATGCTGAGATGGGGAAGAATGCACGTTAGGCCAGAGGTGAAAGGACAGAGTGCAGAAAGCTGTACAGCTGCAGTGCACAGATCCTGAGACAGTGAACACAGGTGGAACAAGATGCGTGGGGACATAAGCATCTCCTTGGTCATTGCTGTAAATTTACTCAATTGTATCTTACCAGTGCTGCGTACCTCTTCTAGTTTAGCTGCTAGCCTTGCATATTGCTGTACCCCATCCTCTTAATCCCAATGGTAATTACATGAGGGTTTTTTTTTAGCATAAACGCTCTGATCTGTGATACATGCAAGAGTAGTCAGTACATGTTTTACACAGCTTTAAAATAATCATTGTTCTTTATAAGTACTCAGTGAAAGTTCACGTTTCAAAAACTTGTACTTTCTCCTTCAAAGTAAACGTATGCCCCCATTGATCAGCACCTTCATAGAAAGTTTTACCAAATCACACCAATGTGAATTCAAGGCAATGTAATTATTCACAAACTGCACAGAGCAGCATGCTGTGTTACGGGAGTTGCGCTGAAGGTCTTTCAGCCATCTGGTGCCTCCCTGCGGCTCCTGGGCACGGCTCTTCAAAATCAGCAAGCCTGCCGTAGCTTGCCATTCCTTCCGTGGGACTGACGATATTCCTGCTCTCCCTTTGTAAAAGTTCAGGTGCACCTGTGATGATACAAATAACTGTCTTGCTGAACTCATCCAGCTCCGAGGTCTCTTCCTTGTCTCTTTCCATTTACACAGTGCACACCTGACAATTGCTGTGCACCTGCTCGCGTGATACGTACAGCTTTACTTGCTGGTGTCCAGGAGCCTGTTGCATGGTTTCCCGAGCAAGGCAGGGAAGGATACATCCCAAGATCACAATTAGCCTGACAACTAAACCAGCGAGAATGTGCTGGTATAGGAAAAATGTTGCCGCATGCAGCTTTTTAAAAAGTCCTCTGTTCCAAAAATTGCAAGCAGTGTGTAGTTTTCCTGACTGGGTTTGTTGCTGCACAAGTGAGCAGGATGGTATTTGAGCGTCACAAATACAACAGAATCGGGTGTCTTGTTTCTAAAATGGGCACGCAATCTCTGTTGATCTCTGCAGCGTTCATGTTTCTGATGATGAGTAGAAAAGGAAGCTATGTAAAAATGTGAATTATGGGATGGAGTGAGGAAACTAGGGCATTGTTCAAAGTCGTGATACAAAGGTAATGATGATAGTATGGAGTAGAAGGATTTAGTGGGAGCTTGATACTGTGTCCCTGTGATCTCTTTAGGGTTGTCAGTATGTGAAGTGTAAAGAAGCCCTCATAGCAATGTGCTGGTAGGGATGGGGCCCCCTCTGAGACACTGTGCGTACCTTCTGTGTAAAGTGTCTTTTATCACTCCAGGCGCTTGCTGAGAGGATTTGCTCTGCAGGCCAAATAACCATATTTGTATACACCCTGGCAAAACTTCAGGGGTAGTGGCTGTGCACCAGCACAAGTGGTACCAATAAAGCTTCCTGGAGTAGCGGTGACTTTAATGTAGATTCAGTAAAAGCTGTGTGCACAGAGAAGGGGAAGTAATTTATACTGTTATCACTGTGTCCACCTTAAATGTGATACTGGTAGGATTACTGCAGGAAAAAATAACAACAAAACCACCCCCAAAAAGGTTACATTCTTAATCAATGTGTTTTTAGTAGTAAAAGCTGTACGTAGACTGGGTCTGAGGACAGCATATTGGCACTATTTCGAAGAAAAAATACGATTAGAGTTCGTGCACATTTTTGCTTTTCTGTGCTCCTGCGATTCCTCGTACTTTCCTTATCTCCCTGGCAGTTGGGTGTTGAGTGCTAGAGGCTGCTGCAGCCTACTGCAGCCCCATGGGTCAGAACCCACCAACGTTGTACAGATTCTGTCCGGTAGTGACTGAAGGACAAGCTTTGGACTCCAGTATACTTGATTAAAAGGTCATCTTGGGAATCCAGTACGCTTCAACCAGTTGATGTTGAAACTGGTTCACGCTGGTATTTCAGTGTGTCCGTAGATAAATGGAGTTCCTCTGTTGTCTGTTACAGCTTTTACTTTATTTGGAGCATTGCTTAGGGATAATTAAAGTTTATAGGGAAGGAAATTGCAGGAGAGCATGCTTTTCATTTGCCATTGCTGCTTTTATCTGAGATCTGAGATTACTCTATAAACATCAAATGAGTCTCTGAGCACAGAGTAGGTTAGAATTACACTATCATTATAATGAGTAAAATGAGGGCCAGAAAGTTAAGTGATATGGTAAAATTATTGAATGATAGCATTGTGTCGCAGCTGTTACACTTAGGCATCATGAAAGCAATGTAAGTTTACCTCATTATGGAAATGTTAGATCAAGGAACTGGGTGCATGAAGAGCAGAACGTACCTCATTTCACAGCTTTCGAATGAGGCAAAGTTTACAGGAGGATGTAGTATACTTGTACTTAAAGCACAGCTCTGGAAACAACCATGGAACTGCCAGGCATAATCAGATGGAAAGAAGTACTATAAAAGGTGAAATAAAGAAAGCTTCTGCCATCTAGCCCCAAGAAACATCTCTCTTTGAACATAAAGCACATGGATCTAAGTGATGAAAGATCTGACCTACTAGTAACTACTGACGTTGCCAAGGCTTAGCAGTAACTGCACCATGCTGAGTCAACGATTCTTCACGTTGGAGGACCCCTGTTGAATGACAGCAGTATAATGCTATCAGATTTTCACATCTTTTAAATCTGGTGTGCTTTGCTCAGAAGTTCAGTGAGCATTGTTTTCTCTTTGAAATTCTTCAGCTGTGTCGCTGATGTAGTGTTCGAAAAGTTCCCAGGAAGGCTGTGGGTTTTGAAATGTTATCTGTCTACACATGATTTTAATTAAAAGTGGTTAATCCGCTGTGTTTCCCCAGTTTTTATTTTTCTGTTAAGATGCACTGTACATCTAGTCCATTAAAAGGTAGCTGTATAATATATGGCTAATGCAGTTGCTATTTACACTTGAAAATAATTTTAAATGGTTTTCTTAATCTCTTCAAAATTCAGTATTGCTATTATACCACAATCTATTTTGCAAATAAATGGTATGTATTGATGAAACATGTCAATATCCATTTGACTTATGAGGCTAAGTTAAATAATTCGAAGACAGATCTGTAGTGCTTCACATTATGCATTCTCAGAATTATTTAAATATTCATTATCACGAGTCTCTAATAGAGAGCCTTGTCACATTACTTATTCCACCCATGTGCCGTTATATGCTCGGCTTTTACAGGTAATTATTTGGATTGCTGCAGATCTGGGTAAATCCAAGTGCTAAAACCTTTCATACTTTATGAGGAGAGTGAAGGAACACTGCAAAATCCTTAGTTTGTATTTCTTATTCAGCTTGTGGTAATACAGTCTTCTTTAAACGTAGTGATTTGCTGTTTGTGTTTTATATGTATTTCAGTCCTATAAGATCATCAATTTTGCTCCAAGTCTACTGCAAATCATAGTATCAGATCAAGTTGAATTTCCAGTGCGTCAAGCAGGTGAGATAAATTCCTTGTTTCATTTTCTTTCAGTAGGAAGTCAGTCTGTTAGTTATTTCAACAGAGTATTGAGCTGTTGCGATGTAAGTTCATGTTTGTTCTGAATGCGGAAATGAAAAGGATCTATCTTTGCCGTTTCTTTCCTACATGAGGGTCAGATAAAACCATGGGTACAGGGTAGAGTCCTGCTTTGGCTTCCCTGTGTTTGTAGTGATCCCTACTGGATTGCTGTGATACTGATATGAAAAGAGAATGATTTCTGCTCAAAACTGAGTACCCAGGGAGCCTTAGGTATTCTTTCTTCTCGTGGTGAAGAAGTGGTGATGCCAAGACAAGTGGGAATTAAAAAAAAAAAAGTGGATCTCATTTGAATACATGTTTCTCTATTTGAATCCCTTTTCCTGGAAAAATGAAAGTTTCTGAAAAATGAAAAAAACCCCATAGTTCCCTAGGTCAAGGGTAGCCACATATGCTTAGTCAGTATCTATGGTGTCCGCTCACAAAAGTAGATATGAAGGAAGGTCACATCACTGTTAAGTTATAAATTTATAGTCTGAGCATGTCGAGAAAGATTGCCCAACTGTGTGTGTGAGTTCAGGTATGGTGATGCAGTTAACTTGAGGGTATACGTTTGTGTAAGATCAGATTCAAAATTCTCATAATCTAACTACTCCTATACAATATTTTTGATAGATAAAGAAAATATTCAGCTTTTTCAAGAAATTGATGAATACTGTTCCGTTCACAGGTCTGGTTTTATCCTATGGAACAGCATTTCCCATAGAAGCACTGCTGGGTTTTTTGTACGGATCCTATTAATCCCCTGAGTGTGTTGGGGCATGCTGACATATGCTGTTTGTCATGCTGGCGTGTATTTTTTCAAAGATAATCCAACTTTGAATGGCATTGTTAAACCATTCTGTAGTAAAGTTTGATGCTTAATCTAGAGTCCATAAGGTCATTTTTATAAATTAATCTCTCATTTCAGTATCATTCAGGGAAAAAAAACAGTATGTAGAACACAATTTTTTAAATTTTTGTTTTATTTTTTTATATTTTACAGAGTAGGTGTATAAAATAGAAAAGCACATTTGAATTACATTTGTAAGTCAACAGATTTCCCTGGGAATGTTTTAAAAACCAAGAATTTGTTTAAGAAGAAGATCTGTGAACAAAGTAAATTAAAGTCTTGGGCTGGCCTTTCTGGACCTGTTTCTTGTCTGAATATTCTGGCACATCATAGACAAAGAACTGTTTTTCCTCTTGCTCCTATGAAATATTTTACAAACTACGTGTTTTCATACTTCATAATTTGTCATCACTAAGAAAAATTACTGTAGACAAGGATATCTTATTTATACTTTAAAACCCTAGCTAGTAATCAACCAAAATAGTATAGGGATAAGAGTTTATTAAGAACATTCCTTTAATGTCTTACACCATATTTCCTATGTTTCCTAAAGCATGCCTACCGGCATTTTAGTACTGAGGCATAAATGCTGCTTTATTTTCAGTTGAAGATTAGCTTTATTTTTCATGGTCTTTCATGTGAGACAGAAGGGAACAATTCTAAGGGATTATGGGAAATCCTAATAGTGAGATAAAGCTTAGGGAATTCACAACAAACATTTCTGTCTGAATAGAAGGTAGGCCACGTGCCAGTTTCATACTGGGCATTTCCCCAAGCAGAGTGTCCCATCTGTGTGCGCAATGATTTGTTTACACGAGTCTTCCAAAACTTCACTTACTGAGCTTGAGTAGTTGTTTTAGGGATGAGTAAAAATGCAGATAAGTAGATTTTTGTTTGCTTGTTTAGAACGACGGAATATTATGTCCATATGGAAGACTGCTGTAATAAAGAACGTACCCTGATAGAAGCTGGCTGAAATACTGTCCTGTTCTGTTTAGGACCAGGCACTTGAGCCTGATCTTGCGTGGTTTTCTGACTCAGCTGTGCTTAGTGCCTATAATTGTTAAGAACTCATGCAGTGGTTTTCTGTCGTCTTTTCAACTCTTTGTTCTACTTTCAACTGTACTACATGTTGAGCACAGAGTAATGTGGAGATGTGTTAGAATTAAATTATTATTTCCCCAATGTTTATACTTAGCTGCCATTTACCTGAAGAACATGGTGACACAGTACTGGCCAGACCGTGAACCACCTCCTGGAGAAGCAGTATTTCCATTCAACATTCATGAAAACGATCGTCAGCAGATTCGTGATAACATTGTAGAAGGAATAATTCGTTCTCCTGACTTAGTGAGGTACTTTATATTGTATAGAGATATTTCTACAGCTCAAGTTTTCAGACCTACCGGTCTGGATGTAGTTAATATGAGAATATCAATTTCTTGGGAGATTAAGCAAGTACTTCTTTTGAAAATGTAATAATAATTTTACCACTTGTTTTTCAGAAATGTATTAACCTGGCTAAGAGCTCTGTGATGTGATTTGTCCTCTTACGGTGTAGTTTAAAGTGTCTTCTAACACTTTCTCTAGTGACAGCCCGTCTATTTGATTCAGAGCAGATAGTATAGAGGGCTCTCTGCAATACAGAATTACCCATTCAGAGAAATACTGCCCAAGATCATCTTTTTTTTAGTAGTAGCCCTTTTCTCAATTACTTTTGCAATTTTTATATGTAATCCCGCTATTTAACTGTGTGTTAGCATTCTTGATTTTAAGATGTTAAAAGAATGAAGAAATGCTGTTCTCTTTTTGCTGGAAGAATAGTTAAGATTCACAGACATACTACAGTCTATGATTGTTCACCGCACAAACTAAAGTGAGGCTGATAGCATGGGATTAGGGCGTAGCGTATAGATGTTAATCTTCGAAAAACAGAAGAAAATATTCCTCTTCTCTCCTCCTCCTCTCCACCAGCTAGGTGCCCAAAGATGTCTTTTTTTGTCAGTAGTCATATCTGGAGGAGGAGTGATTGTCTATAGATTGAAGTTAGGATTAGAGAAAACACTTTAGAAAAATAATGAAACACCAGAATGCATTAAGCTGCTATAGCATTGCTGTCACTGGAGGTCTTTATGAATAGATTAGACAAACACCTGCCGGGACTGCTTAGATCCTGCACTGAGACAGGAAAATGCACTAAAACATCCTTTCCAGTTCAGCTTTTCTAACATGCTCTGACACAGATGTCTAGAATCCCCACTGAAAGAGATAGTTGCTCCTTGCCAAGGTTGTGCTACAAGGTAAGGAGGCTTGTGCTGTTTCTGTGATAATGTAATAAAGGCATGTAGTTTCCCCTGCCATCATGTCATAAATACCAAGGCTAAGTTTATACAAAAGAACACAAAATAATGGAAGTTTGAGGAGTTTTTTTGCAAACTAGTTCAGGCATCATTTCATAACCTGATATTCAGAATGCCCTGATGTTACAATGACAATCTACATCTAAAAGGATTGTTGAAAACCCCGGGACAATCACCTGGAATAAAGTAGAGGGTTTCTAAATACTGGCTAAACTTGTAGATTTGTCAGAGGTTAAAAAAAACCAAAGAAACTTTACTGGAACTAGTCTGATGCTGTAATACTGATATTTTTCACTGTTTGCTTGTGAGAATAAGGGGGGAGGAGGAACCAAATCAGCAATGAGCACCAACTCCAAAGGCTTGAGGGGGAAGGTAAATTTGTACAAAGCTAAAAGGATCAGTAGATGGAGGGGCCCTTTTACTGAACTGCTTTGTAATAGTGCCTCCTTATGTAATGGACTGCAAGAGGATACCCAAGGAAAACTAAATATAGAGGGACCAATATTTTCCATAGACCTTTTTTTTAAATTTTTTTATTTCTTAGCGGAGTCAAGAGTATTTATTTACAGCTTCTAGTTCAGTGCCTCTCCGCTTTTTTAGTCACACCTCACTTTAGTCAATTAACAATCCTGTCTTGCCTCACCATTGTGAATGGCATCTAAAAGTGTGTGGAGGGAGAGGAATGGTAAGATGTTTTTACCTAATTGGCTCTGCCATATGCTTCAGAGGTTGAGGAGTGCTGTTCTAGAAGATCCCAGGAAAATTGTAATTTCTTGAGGAACGTCTGGCTTGGATCATAACACAAGCCAATATTGTTTAATAAAAATGTACAAAGTTGTGTTTTTGTGGTTGCTTTCAGCCTCATAAGCATGTAGAAGTATAAACATTCATTTTCGAAGTACAAAGCTAGCTGGTTTCATGAGCAATTAATTGTTTTCAAATATTGCCTGATGAGTGTGGAGAGGGAGGAGGAAGGGAGAAAAGTAGCTAAAATGTTCTGAAATTAGTTTCTTCCTTAAAGTTAAATCCCCTGGGATTTTTTTCCTTGCTTTTCCTCTGCCACTTCCCAGAACTCTTTCAGTGCTGTCAAAATATGTATGATACTTGTGTGATATGTATATTGTGACCAATAAAGCAAGATTTGGGATCTATCCTTTAATATTAAACACTATGCCACGATCTTATTTACTTAGAATATATTTCTTTTTCCCTCCTGCCATAGAGCCCAGCTGACAATGTGCCTCCGTGCTATCATTAAACATGACTTTCCTGGCCATTGGACAGCCGTGGTAGACAAGATAGGCTACTACTTGCAGTCTCAGAACAGTGGGAGTTGGCTTGGGAGCCTCCTGTGCCTGTATCAGCTGGTGAAGACTTACGAGTAAGTTGATGTCCATCAGTAGATGAGGAATCAGTACTTTTAGTCTCAGCTGATCACTGAGAATGACATTCTTAAGAATGCACTGGCAGTCCTACAAGTAACTCAGATAGAAAATGGGAATTAATAATTGTCATATGCTTCCTTTCCTGCAAATAAATGAAAACTATTCATCATCTTTATATCATCAGTGAATTGAAAGCAGAGATGCCAGCAATAATCGGTATGAATTTTCTGGAGGCTTTGTACTTTTGATCTGATTTAACCCATCTGTGAAAAATTTTGTAAATGTTTATAACTTCTTTTGTTTGAAGATTCCCCAAATGCTGGATATATGAATGCAAATTATTTTCTACTTCTGTCATGAATACAGTACTGTCGTTGTCATATACTCCTATTGCATATTGTTACCTGTACCATCCTCCTGATAGTCTAAACCCACAAAGCGTAAATTAGAAGTGTAGTGTGCTTTCTCACTCATTTAAAAAAAAAAATATCTGTTGTTAGAAACATATGTATAAACTGCACAAAAGAAGTAAAAATGGAGAAAGAGAGAATCTTTTCAAAACAAAGGAATTGTCTTTCCCTTTCAATTGCTGGTCACTTCTATTTGTTCAGCACCCAACTTGGGTTTGGCATTGGTATGAATGTCAGAGAAATTCAAGTCTCTGCTCCTCTGAGCTGACAATTCAGTAGTAAAGAACATTAGTTCTTTCTCCCAATAAGCTGCATTTAGATAAGGTAACATTTGTTGTTTTTCATTTCTCTGTTTATAGGTTAGAGAATTTGCACAAATTGTTGAGATGGGGCCTAGAGGAGGGGAGAGTGAATGAGCAAGTACTGGGTATTAATTTATATATTTTTTTAGGGTACAGAAATTAAATTTCTGGTGGGGAATAGGCATTAGAATTTCCAGTGTGTAGATCCTGGACCAATTTTTTTGTTTCCTTTGCAGATACAAAAAAGCAGAGGAACGAGATCCTCTCATAGCAGCAATGCAAATATTTTTGCCTCGGATTCAGCAGCAGATGATCCAGCTTCTGCCTGATAACTCCCATTACTCTGTACTGCTTCAGAAACAAATCTTAAAAATCTTCTATGCTCTTGTTCAGGTTGGCATCTGTGTAGAAGAAAACCGAAACTTTTACTCCGCTGGGCACAATGACCCCCTTCAGTCCACTTATGGGTGCGATTGAATAAGAATACCAATTTGGATGGGAAAAGTCATGTACAATAAACAGCTTTTATAAAAATATGTTCTTTATAGATTTTTCTACTTAAAAACTGGTCACATGATCCCCCAGATTAAATTTTTAATGAACGTAGGTACTTCTGCACATCATATCTGTAAGCTTACTGGAGAAATGTTCCTATTTTTTTGAAGTCCCACATAACCTGATATAAACTGTATGGGTATCTAGACGGTGCTGGTTGGCCTCTGAAAGTGTCAGTAGTGCATATTGTAGTACAACTGTCAAGTAGTGCACTTCAGTAGGTGGCATTTCTCATTACCTTCTGAAGATCTGGCAGAAATTATTTATCGAGGCACATGCATTTTACAGACATGAATTTGGCTTTTACAGGGATGAGTTTGGTGAGGAAGTACTTTTAGAGAATGAGCAACGAAACAAGATCCTACATGAGGGGCAGCCTGAAAATTCTTACTGGGGGTTAAAAAGCTAAAAGTTTGTTGTTAGATGGGGGGAGGATTAAAAAGATCCCAGGATCCTGTTTTACTTTTCAATAGCTTGCCTGAATATTGTCACTGTGCTTTGGATTTTGTAGGGAAGTAAGATTTACTAGATAGTAGCTAGGTAGTAATTAGGAGTACAGTTCACTTACTAAAATGCTATTGGTTTACCCAAGCCCTGTAGTATAGCTACTGCCGTGGTCCCTAAAAGTCAGCTGGGCTATTGTGAAGAAGAGGAAAAAATAAAAAGAATTGGCAAGTTCTCAGACCAAGGAACTTTCCTCAAATAGTGTCTGCTGAGAAATTCCTCTGTAAATTGTACCAAGAAGGATGCAATTAGAGTAGTATTGATATCTAACCCAATTAGTTTTAATTTTACTTAAAACCTCATCTTCCTCAGAATGTAACTACTGTAGAAATATTTTCTACCTTTCTCAGAGAAAAACAGTGTTTCGTGACTGTGGTTTTTTTTTCTTATTTCAGTATGCATTGCCGCTCCAGTTGGTGAATAACCAGACTATGACTCAGTGGATGGAGATCTTCCGTACTATCATTGATAGAAATGTACCTCCAGTAAGTTTTAGTTTTTTAAAGACCTCTGATACTTGCGTGTTGGCATTTGAGGAACAGTCAGTGTGAAGGTTTTCTAAGTGTTCTTTTTTTTAAGATGTCATCTATTTAAGATTCTTATCCTTGGAATAAGTGGTGTTTCTGACAGAAACGTAGGAAGATAAGTAAACTGTCAGAATTCCATTGTCTGAGGTAGTGATACCATGTAAACGCCAATCTGGGATATTTTGGAAGTTTCCAAATATTTTAGCCAGTTTCTCTCAAACAAGAATCAAAAGCTCATCCAAACTCATCATTTGTCTCCGTTCCTCTTTGTCTTTCATCTGTCCTTCATATTTCTTGAAGAACAAAATAAAAAGAGTAATTAAATTTTTGTTTGTGTGTACAACATTAACTGGCATTTCCTAAGTTTTTTAGAAATGTATTTCACAACCTTAACGTTGTTTTAATAGCTTTTGCATTAGTATATGGTTAGGGTGTATATATTTGGAGGAGTTAGTATCATGCTTAATTTTTAAGCCAGAGTGCACGCCACTGTGTAGTATTCAAGTATATGTGAGCGTTTCTGTTTTTTAAATATGCATAATTTTGAAAATTGAAGTACAGGCATTGTACAAGTATTGCACATATACAGTTATGTTGACTAATTGAGATACTTGGAAGTTCCTGAATGTTATATAACTGTTAACAGTCGATTAGTTTACTCAGCAAGGAATGTTTAAAGCATCATTTCTCTCAACAACACACACAGCTAATTTAAAATATATGTATTTATTTATAGGAGACTTTGCAAATTGATGAAGATGATAGACCAGAGCTGGTGTGGTGGAAATGCAAGAAGTGGGCATTGCATATTGTAGCTCGTCTATTTGAACGGTAACAAACTAACAAACTGATTAAAAACTAAGTTGGGGTTACAAACCTGTAATGTTACTTGAGCTGCAATTAGACAAGACAGTTTAGTTG